TTTTCCACCTTGGCTTGATTCTCTGGGAGTTCACTGCCCGGCTCTTCTGGGTCAGACACTATCTCTTCTTGATTGGCAGGGTTCTCCTCTTCGTCTTCTTCATCATTGTTCTCCTCTGGATCTCCATCTGGTTCATTGTCATTGGCTTGATCGGAGAACACGACACCAAATTCGCCATTGGTACTGGAGATTTCGTAGACCATGTTGGGATCTGACCCATTGGGAACTGGAGCTAAGTACGAGTCACTTTCGTTTTTTCTTCTCTCCATTTCCAGCAAATAGTCGACCTCTGTTGAATTTGATTGCTCCTCATTTACTTCAGCAAATTCGTTCATAAACGCATCTTCGTCGATGACGTCATCTTTGTTACTTTCCTCAGAAGCCAACGGCGTGTTATAAGTTTGTGGATGCGACAAATTCCAAGGAAGACCTGTAGTAAGGTCGGGAGACGAATCTGCTGGTAAAGATTCAGTTTTTACTGCAACATCTCCCTTTTCCAGGAGTCTGACAGAGCTTGAAGAGACTGTACCTCTGCTCTCTGCAGTTTGTAACTGGCGATTTTCATTGGTAGCTGTTGCTGCACTTGCGAAACTACGATTTTCGTTGGTAGGTGTTGCTCCATTAGTAATAAAACGGCCGGACAAGAGGCCGTCCAGGTTTACCAGCGACGAGGACGAGTCAGCATCTCCAGCACTGTTGTGATGATGGCGGTACAAGATTATCGCGGTACCACAGGCGGAACAGTAGTAACTCTCGAAGTAGAAAAAAAGAACGAGTCCCGTGCACGTCACGAGAAATAGCCAGCCCAGCTTTAGTCTATTTCTTGAAAAGCTGCAGCCTTGTGTCGACTTTGGTTTTTCCATGGTCCTGCTGACCTGACGAGTCTGCCGTTGCAGTGGCATGCAGTGAATGCGACGTACCGCGCGCGAGAAATGCACCGTAATTAAACACCCGCAGGCAAAACGATAATATATCTACGCGTGCGCATTACGTTGATCACGCTGATTGATGAAGACGGCGGAAGACGTGCATGCATTAATAATGATACGTATGTATGCACAGGAAACTCCATAGTTCAAATTTTCCTGTCCAGTGGCTTTCCGCTGACGACGACCTTTATCTCGTCCACTGAGAGTGTTTCGTATTTGAGCAGGGCCTCGGCCAAACGCCTGTGCTCCACTGAATACTGCTTCAGCATGTTCACAGCTCGCTCACGTGACTCCTAGTAATTATAGAGTAATTATAGAGTATAATATGTAGAGTGTGAAGGATGCGGTACAGGGGTGTGAAATGATACTAAGAACTTGGTATGGAGTATGAAGAATGTGGTAGGTAAGTACGGAAACGTGAAGTGTTGTACTGAAGAAGTATAGGAGTGGATTGTCGTACGATAGGGGACGATGTGAAAATGTGTGAAATATTGAGTAAACCTACAGCTTTTCCCATTCCGAGAGAGAACGTGGAATGTGGAATGGAATATGGATTATGTAATCACGAGAGAAATGGAATGAGGTCGTGCCACAATGATTCCACACTATATACCTGCAGCAGTCTCTTGATTTCCTCGTCAATGAGAGCCTGGGTGGCCGGACTGACTTGTTCGTTTTTATCTCCGTGAGCTACTGGGCCAACCTGATCAGGAACAGTGGGGGAGGAGGAAGAGGGGAGAGAGAGAGAAAAATGACAGAGGCAGAAATTAAATTTCTTACCTTGTCTGTCATCCCAAAGCGGGTGACCATGGATCTAGCGATTCGGGTGGCATTTTCCAAATCACTAGCAGCTCCTGTCAATCAACAGAATAATAAATCAAAAAAACTCTGTAATTACACAGATATCAGGGAAACAAAGGAGCGACTTTACCGCTGGTGACATTCTCGTGACCAAAGACGATTTCCTCGGCGACGCGACCGCCCATTGCCACGTCTAGTCTGGCCATGAGCTGTTTACGACTCCACGAGAGTTCGTCTTTCTCCGACAGCATCGAGACCATTCCCAGGGCGCTGCCCCGCGGCATGATTGTCGCCTTGTGGATCGGGAGGGCCCCTGCAGTAACGAGGCAATCAACGAGCCTTCCGATTTGGAGTTGTGTGACAAACCTGGAGTATACAGAGCCACGATGGCGTGGCCACCCTCGTGGTAGGCCACCAGTCTCCTGTTCTTCTCTTCGATGACGGCACTCTTTCTCTCGGGGCCCATGATGATCTTGTCTCGTGCAAAGTCCACGTCGTCCCTGGTGACGGCTTCGTTACCGATTGCAGAGCCATGCAGTGCCGCCTGGTTGATTAGGTTGGCAAGGTCAGCTCCTGTAATTAGAGGACAAACTCTTTACCATCCTCAGGACAAATAAACACATTTTTCACGGCAAAAACTGATCGCTTAAAAGACAGTAAAGTTTCACAAACATGTTACGCTGATGTGGAAACCTGTTTGTTTCTGAAATTCACAAATTATATAGCAAACGTTTTTACGGCATCGGGCAACTTAAACATTTGCACACCCACATGCGCCGTGTTGTAAGTCTAAAATGTTGGCCTCTGACCAGAAAACCCGGTGGTTCCTCTCGCCACCACCTCCAGATCAACTTCACTGGACAGCAGGACCTTCTTCGCATGAACCTGTGGCCGAGAGACAGAGAGCGGGAGAAAAATGATTCTTCCTTACAGAGAGAAGAGAACAGTTAATGGCACCCGATTACCCATAAAGCACAGGGGTATGTACATACTGTGTCATATGAAAGGCTAGAGATCGGAGAGAGGCTGATACAATGCCCGGGTATATACCTTCAGGATTTCGTGACGAGATCTAACGTCAGGGAGGGGGATGTTGATTCTGGAGTCGAAACGTCCGGGTCTTATCAGTGCCCTGTACACCAATACAACACGACGATAAGATTAGATAGATAAGATAAGATATCAAACAGCTCATCAATTAACATAGAAAGAGAAAAATAGAGTATAGAAAGAAAACCGGACTGTAATATATAGGGCTTCAACAATAAGGGCTTACTAAGGTGGGACTCAACGTGAGGTGGTGCATGATGTAATAGAAACTTGTGCAAGTGTCTAAAAATAGCGTGCCATTTCTTGGATGGAGGGAGTGGTGAAAAATGCTACAATAATATTTTTATTGCTGACTTGTCCAAGGACTCAGGGAAGTTAGTAGCGCCAATTATGACCACGCCCTCCAGTTCCTTGTAGCCGTCCATTTCGACGAGAAGTTGATTGAGGGTCATCCTCGAGTAGGGGTGGACGGAGCTGGCAACCCTGGCCCCGCCCACCGCATCGAGCTCGTCTATGAACACCACACAGGGTTTGAGCTTTCTCGCCTGCTCTGAACGAAGTAGAGAGAGAAAATGGGAGAGGAAAGAGGGGGGGATGTTAGTGCATATGTACATGTCAACAAAAAAAGCAGGAAAACGAGAGGGGGTAAGGGATAGAAAAAATAGGGTGAGGGGGCAGAAAAAAGACGCACAGAGGGAGAGAGAGTATCGTTCAAAGAAAGAATAGAGAGACAGTAGAGTCTACATGAACACGGAGAGGAAGGAGAGAGATGGAGGAAGGAGAGAGATGGAGGAAGGAGAGAGACGGAGGAAGGAGAGAGATGGAGCACCAACCAAACAGTTTTCTCATTCTCGACGCGCCGACTCCAACAAACATCTCGTCGAACTCTGACCCCGACACAAAGAAAAACGGCACCTCTGCCTCTCCGGCGATGGCCTTAGCGAGCAGGGTTTTCCCCGTCCCCGGTGGACCAATCAGCAGCAACCCTGGAGGAGAGAAAACACAGGGTCCTAATAAACTAATAAACGTAGGCACGTAGGTGTACCAATTGAAGCCGTTCAGTTGGCATTATGTCAAACCAAATAAATGTTTACATAATATATATATGTATATACTATATACAGTGCAAATCGTGGAAACCTGATTGAAATGCAGTACCAGTTGGTAGCTGGGCGCCGATCGCGGAAACTTGAAAACAACACAGATTGAAATGCAGTACCAGTTGGTAGCTGGGCGCCGATCGCGGAAACTTGAAAACAACACAGATTGAAATGCAGTATATACCAGTTGGTAGCCTGGCGCCGAGTCTCTGGAACCTCTCGGGGTATTTCAGGAATTCCACGATCTCCTGTACCTCCGCCTTGGCCTCTTCGATTCCCTGCACGTCGTCGAACGTGTACAGTTTGTCCGACGGATCGGGCCGGAAATCCTTCGTCATCTGGTGAGCTGGCAACACAACAGAATAAAGATCATCACACGCACTACTGCTTTCCATTCATAAGTACACATGTAGGAGGCATTATTATACAGGCTAAATTCAGCAAATGGCAAAAAATTTTTTTTGGGTAAAAGGGAGTGAGATATATAGCACAAGATGGGAAATGGGAGAAGCAAATTTTTTTCAACATATTCAGTGGTAAAGATTATTCAACTCACTTCCATTCTTCATGTGCGTCATGAGAGCGGAGGAGATGAAAGTCGTGACAAAGAAAGCGATGATGACGAATCGGGCGAGGTACCACAGCTCCCTGAACCAGCTGCCCTTCTGAGGGAGGTTGACGATGTGGACTGGGTTCTCTCGCGATCCATACACATCTGGGGAGGGAGGGAGGGAGAGAAATGGTGGTACAGTAAGTGATGTTTCTATAACTGCTCACGCTTGCCCGAGCTCCCTGCTGGGAATGAGGTATTCACCGGTTCCATGTCCCTTGACACCTGAATGGAACCAGTCGGAATAAATATACAGTGTACATAACTGGAAAATTATGTTTGCCACCTGCCAAAATTTTAGCTGTTTCACACAAAATTTATGCAAGGCATAAAAAATTACACGGTCGAGACGAAATTCGCCAAATGCAATAACCACCAATGTATACTTTCTGTGTGTGTGTAGTACATAGATGAGCTGTGTGTGTGTGTGTGTGTGTGTGTGTGAACCTCGACTATTTCCAGTGCTCTCTGGTATATCCGACGGACTTCTGCGTCCACTGCATAGTTGCCACTTTCGAATCTTCTCACCACGTAATGTGGGTCTCTGTCTAGGACCGCCTGTTAGTGGGGAAGATATACGATATACACAGTAGAATGAAAGAGAGAGGAGGGAGGGGAAAGAGAGAGGAGGGAGGGGAAAGAGAGAGGAGGGAGGGGAAAGGGAAAGAGATAGAAAGAGAGGAAAGCACATAATGAGCATGTATATGTAGTAGTTATATACCAAATATGGAGGGAGGGAGGGAAGGAAGGAGGGAGGGAGGGGAGAGAGAGAGAGGGAGGGAGGAGAGAGAGAGAGAGAGAGTGGTGACCTCAAGGTAGCGGGCCTGAATCAGAGGATTGTCCGTCTCCGAGTTGGCCCTCTCCTCCAGCTGGACAAAGGAGATGTGGCGAACAGTTGGTCGCCATGGCGAGGAGGACACACCATTAAAACCAACTGCATATGAAATGAAAAGCACTGAAGTGCAAACCCTCGGCGCACTGTGACGCGCACGCGTAAGTAAACGCATGCGCCGTACCACTAATTGATGGGCTGGGTTTAGTTTTAGCTGCTGTTACCCGTGGTCTCTTGCCAGCTCGCGCAGAGTCTGACGCGGGCTAACTACACTACTAGATAGCATGCGAGAGGCGATACACGCCCTGCGTTGCATCTTCTGGTGCCTCCGAAGTACGCAGATCATGCGGATCGATCCGACTGTGGTAAGCCGTTGTGTATTTGCAATTGGCTTTTTCGCGCTCTAGCTTTGCAACGGAGCATTTTCAGAGAAAACCGCCTTTATTTTCTGACCTTCGTCGCCCGTTGGGTAGATGGTATCGTTTCTGGGACGAACAGACGTTCGAGGAGTGAGATTGAGAGTAACAGACAAACAGACAGACAGACAGACAAACCCAACTACTGTAACCCTCGCTGCGCATGCGCGCCGAGGGTTAACAAGAATTAAGTGAACAAAATGACACACACATAAAATGGAAAGTGTCTATATTAGTGAGGTGTCCTTATTTCTGGGGTTGTAAGTTGCATGTTTCCAGTGAAACAAGAGGTCATTTGGAGAGGTTTCCTCGTTATAAGGATGTCCTTAGAAAGGGGCTCCACTAAAGATTTAAAACACGTATGTATATACGTCGTACCTGTTCTTCTTCTTCCCAGTGTGTCATGGCGAGCCAGGCTGGAGAAGTGACGGGCACCTTGAAACCACCGCCACCCTCTGTACTTACTACCTGCACGTGATAGAGACATAGTCTCAACCTCTCTCCTCCTTCTTCTCCTACAGAACCCACCTCTGATTGGTTGCAGAAGTTGGGAGGTGCTTGGCACGTATCCCGCGCTGGGGAGGCTAAAGAAATCGGATCGAAACGAACCGATTGCCTTCGTCCACGTGTCTTGGCTGACTCCTAGCTCAGATATCACCATGGATTGGATAGACCCACTCTACGAAAATGATGACAGCAGAAATAGGTATGCTGAAAAAACTGGAACATAAGCCAAATGGTTACGAGGGCATGTGAACATACGTGGTTGTCTGTGGCACTGCAGCTGCTGCTCTGGCAAGAGTCTCTACTGCTCCCAGCGGCGGCCGGGCTGTGGTGGTAGCGCCGGAGGAGGTTCCCCAGGCGACTCCCGCCACCATAGTTGAGGTGGGCTCCGTTTAGAACGGCCAGCGCCTCGCTCACCAGTCCCAGTCCACCGACCTGCGTACACAGAGAGGAAAGGAAGAAGTGGAAATAACGAACCTTTACTTCTCCTTGTCTTAGCTAGCTACTCGTTATTTCCACACAGAGCGGCTGTAGAGCAAGAACCTACGAAACGGCACAGCGCTCCGTCTGCACTTCCCTCTCTTTACTCACCCCCAACCCGGCACTTGTAGAACTAGCTGGCACGGCCATGGTTGACGACGGCTAAAATCCACAGTATAGGCCCCGAAAAAGGACAGAAATCGTGAATGCTGACTGTGATGCTGACTGCTTATGCTCTGACTGCTGATGCTGACTCAGCAGAGCTCCAATCTCCGGTCAATTTGTGGGTTGTCCGGAAGTTTTTGTCGAGAAGCTGGCCTTGAAAGTGTGAAAGGGAGAGACAGGGGAAGCTAGTCATGAGTAGGACGCTGCGCAAGGCGGTGGAGAACGCCAAGCAGAAGAAAGAGTCGGAGATAAACCTCGTCGAGGAGGGGATAGCACACCTGGAAGAGGTCCCAGAACTTTGTGAGTGGCGGGAGAAAATATGTCAGGTGAAGTCTGACCTTCCCATACTCTTTCTACAGTCATTCTCCACAATCTGACGAAACTCTGTCTGAGCCACAACAAAATAACAGGTAAGCTGAAGCAACAGAAAGCAGAAGCTACGCCCTCCTCTTTCTTTCACTGTCTCTCAGACCGCCTGTCTGTCTGTCTGTCTGTCTGTCTTGCCCCCCACAGAGCTGCCACCAGAGATAGTGGAGCTAAGAAGCCTGGAATACCTGAACCTCTTCAACAACCACCTGGAGGACCTCCCCAGTACCATATCTGCCCTCCCTCGGTTGAGAGAACTCAACCTTGCGTGAGTCTGCATGAGTGTGTGCGTGTCGTTGGCTCCAACTCTATTACGGAGCTTCGTGCAATAACTATATAACACAAAGAAGTCCTTCTGAAAGTGTTGCATGTGTCAACCACTAGCAAACCAGAGCAACACAACTATTGCTAATGACAGGGAACGCTATACTGAAAGGTGTATACGCAAAACACGGAGAACTTACGGCATGCATACAGATGATATATATACTGCAGTTAAGCTGGAGGCATCGTATGTGTAAGCTGCAAATGTCTCCATATTTGTGCACAATGTTGTCGTTGTATGTGTGTCTCTGGCCATACACTGTGATACCTGGCTGGCACCTTTGGCTGTGAGCCTAGTTACAGATTATTAGAAGAAAGCCAAGCCCCCTCCCCTCCCTCCCTCCCTCCCTCTCTCTCTCTGTCCCTTCTCCCTCTCAGTCTGAACAGGCTCTGCGAGCTACCTCGTGGCTTCGGATCATTCCCGGCACTAGAAATTCTCGATCTCACGTACAACAATCTGGTGAGCTCTTCTTTCTCCGCCAATTTCACCTACCTCGGTGGCTGTCTGCGGGCTCTCTACATGGGCGACAACGATCTGAAGCATTTCCCACCTCACATTGACAAATTCACTCTTCTGGAAGTGGTACGTTCTGTTGTAGTGTGTGCGTGGTGTGCATGTTCCTCTGAACCCCCAGCTGGTTCTGAGGGACAACGCCATTGTCGAAGTGCCCAAGGAACTGGGGAAGTGTATCAAGTTAAAGACCCTCCATCTCCAAGGAAACCAAATCATGGCTGTGCCTGTGGAGTTTGGTAATTTTCACTTTTCTCTTGCGAAACCTTTCACTTGAATGTTTGTTACGTGGCATGTCCTATAAGTCAAGCAAGATTTATAAGTGTGTCCTATAGGTCAGGCAAGATTTATAAGTGTGTCCTATAGGTCAAGCAAGATTCATAATGTGTCCTATAGGCCAAGCAAATGTGTCCTACAGGTCGACTCAAGGTGTTTGGCGAGCAGAGGAGTTTCAGATTGGGCGACAACCCTCTCCTCCCATCTCTCGCTGAAAAAGTCAAGGCCGGGAACGTCAAGATATTCTTCGACTTTCTGAAGACTGAAGAATACAACTTGTAAGAAAACCCTCGGGTTGTTTGTATGTGCTTCTTCACCAGATTGAAATGTGGGGCAAAACACCCTAATAAAAGACACCTTTGGTGTGAAAGTGTCCTTTATTATTCAGAGACATCCTTGTACTGGTTATATGGAGCAGAACATAAGGGGGGGGTCCTTTTTCGCTGGGTACTGCCTCTCTCTCTCTCACCCCCTTCCTGAATCCCATCTTTCTCTTCTGTTTTATTCCTCTTCTCTCTTATAATCTCTCTCTTCTCCAACCTCCTCCCCAATCTCAGGATATATCTGAGATTCCTGGACCGCCACGAGCCGGAGACCATCAAGAGGGACAAGTCGGGGAAGAAATGTCGAAAAACTCAAAAACACAAAGTACCGGCTCTCAAGTATGAAACAAAATAGTTTTCTTTCCCCGGGCAGTCAATTCATCTAGTCTTTCACCGCTTTACGTAGAGATCACCGTTTACATGACTTTGTTTAGCTCTTTTTGTCAATAGTGGAATTCAATTGATATTAGCAAAACTAAAATCTTGAGCCTATTATACATATTCAGATTTGCATTCACATGTATATATACAAATCCTGGTTTATCAGAAGCCAAAATTATCTCTAAGGGCACCGTTGATAAAGATGTTACGAGGGTCCATCTCAGACCTGATTTTTTCAAAGTCGGCTAGTTTCGGGTACATGGTCGACAAGTCTTTTCGTGTCGCGTTTGTCACGTATTTTCCCCAGTGAGGCCGAGGAGAGAGATTCAGGGTAGTCCGTGTCGCATCGTAGAATTTCTGGAAATAGTCATGCGCCGCCCGAGGTGAAGGATTGTAGAGTGTCAGAGTGACGTGACAGGACAGACGGCCGTAGTTCGGGCTCAGCCATATGTCGTCACCCATCACCGGTCGAATCTGGACAGTTAATATTATACAGTGGCAGAGGGGTTAAAATTCCCGGAGGATGCAAGGTATTTAATTTACATGCACGTGAAAATTTCCTCAACAATTGGAACAAGTGGTCTTCTATGGGTCACACATACTGTATAGACTGCCAGAACACCCGTATGAATGAATAGACACCAACAAACACTGACCTCTATGGGCATATTAGCAGGAATGCGGTGTTCAATCACGATTCGTCTCAGCTCACGAATGGCAGCTGGGCAGCCTTCAAACGGGAGCGCCAGTTCCGCCTCCCAGTGGACAGGTAGAGAGTGAGGCACCTCGAGGACCGCGGGAGGGGTGTCGACGCGATCGTAGGGCGAGAAGACTGAGGACGGGAGGAAGATGAGGCGCATGACGTGAGGTACGGAGGGAGGGAACCAGGAGCTGATGAGAAGAATTGCCTCCATTACTAACACCTGCATGAGCACACACACACACACACACACACACACACATATCCACACACATCCACACGGTGAAGAAAGGTTCAAAACATTCAACAAAGGAGGGTTTTTATCTGATGTAGGTTTAACTAGAACCTCAAGCAATGTTGATATATAGAAGTTGCTACATTGCATCCATGTATATAGGTGGGCTACACTCTACTTGTACCTCAATGTTTTTGGCTGTCCAGTTGGGATTATCTCGTGGTCTAGTCTCGCTCGTCCTGTTGGCCGCAAACACTCCACAGGTCTCCGAGAACAGCTCCACCCACATCTTGACGTGGTCACCTCCTCTCATTATCCCGTCAAATTGCCCGAGACACTCGTCCAGGGTGTGCCGAGTCAGCACCTCTCTCAGGAGATATATCTCCTCAACGGATAGCGTTACCTCTGTTATCACACCCAGCATCCCCACGCTGACCTGTATGTATAGACCATGTCCAGTTTGCAATTTTAGCTCCTCTGCCCACAAGCGAAGGCAACATTTTGTAATGTTTCCCTGCCTAAAAAAGTTCGCAAAGGAACATTAATTTTTGCTCTTCGTCTTCCAAACTAACCAAAAGTCTGTGAAAAGTTCTCTTCCTTAAAAAAATTTTTTTTGGCGACCAACCTGAGCTGCTTTGAACATGTTCACATTGCTCCCAACCCTCGCTGACACCAGCTGCAAAAGAGCAACAAAGTAGTTTCGAGAAACGTACGCCATTAGCTATTAATAATGCACACCTCTCCCTTTCCACTGACAAACTCCAGTCCAGTCACTAGGGTCGCCAGGTTCCCAAACCCCATTCCGTTGCCATGGGTACCTATGGAAGAAACGGTGGATACCATGGAACCCCTCTCTAATGAATGACATCACTGAAATGGGGACACCTCTTTATTAAGGATACCCAATCACTAAGTTAGTATATAGGGATGCAGGGGTTATGCCCATATAATTTCTGTCTCATTGGTGTCTGGATTAGAGGAGTTCCACTGTTAATATTATTCAAACCTGTCGAGATGGCTCCAGCCACCGTCTGCTCTGATATGGAGCCGAGATTCTTCATGGCAAGCCCCCGGTCGTTAAGGTAACGATTCAGCTGATTCAGTGTCGTCCCTGCCTTCACTGTCACCTCCATTTCATCTCGATCCAACCCCACCTGTCCAGAGAAGACAAATAGCAGCGAAGCATCTACAACTGTTCTTGGGGAAAGCATATTAGAAAGGTGTCCTCATTTCAGGGGTGTCCTTAGAGCAAGAGAGAGTTCCGCTGCACTCTGAATAAAGGACACCTGTGTGTAGCTCACAACTCCAGTATAGTTCCATAGGGATAAGAGAATATCCTCGGACACCGCCACTGACGACCACGAGTGGCCCGATCCAACAACCCTGACCTTCTGACCTCTCTCGGCAGCCGACTGAACAATTCTAACGATGTCGGCTTTTGATGAGGGGGTCCTCAGGTGGGCGTGGTCGAAATATACAGCGGCATCTGCAGAAAAATGTACGCGGTTGCTTGTAAAATTTTGCAAGCAGCAGCCACAAAGCAGGTTTACCGTAGTTGGTGTGTGGCGGGCCGTAGCGGGAGACGCGGGTCAGTAGACACGCCAGAACCACCAGAGAGCCGCTCATCAGCCACAACAAGACCTTCGAACCCATCTCTCTGCAGCGCAGCAACTCGGGGAGCTAGCTAGGCTGGTTCACGCGCGCGCATGCGCCAACAGAACACTGAATCGCATGCGCAAAACTCAAAAGAGACTGCGTTTATTCACACAAGTGCGCGCAAAAAATGCTATAATTATATGCAGTTACACGCTATGAGTGTTTTGCCCGCCAGTCCATCTCTAGTTCATCCATCAATTCATCGTCACTGGAACCCCCCTCGTCACCACTTTCCCCCTTCTCCCCCACCTCCAGCCTCGAAGAAAACTCCGCCGTCTTTCCTCTTTCTCCCTCTCCGGAAGACACCTCTCCACTGGTGCCATCTTTACGCTTCCTCTCAAGTATTTCTTCCTGTTTCAACCGCAGTGTCTCTGCCTTCTGAAAACACCCTCTACACAACAGATTCAGCACACGATTTGATCAGCACACGTTCAAATTGTATATATATAGGGTCACGTTGTCTTACACTTGTTCTTGAATTTCCGAAAAATCTCTTTCTTCTTGCGTCTCCTCATCGTCTTCAAACCTTATGGCCTCTGATACCTACGTAGAATGATATACATGTAGACATAAAGTAGAACTTCTACTAATGGACACTCAGTGAAAAATACAGTGGAGCCTATAATTTGAACATCTGTACGACGGAAGAAAGTGTCGCTATTAGTGAGGTGTCCTATTTCAGGGGTTAAATTGCATGCAAGAACTGTTCTTGGGAAAGGAAAATGTCCTTAATAGATAGGTGTCCTCTTTTAAGAGGTGTCGTTAAATAGGGGGTTACTTACATCGTTTTCTTTCTGGATGGTCTTCTGGAATCGTTCCCATTCCTCCTCCATCTTGTCCTTGTATTCCACCTTCCTGGCCTGGTTACGACAGATTATGTAATCGGGCACTAAGAGTAGATTAAGGGTTGGTTACCTTGGCGTCCATTTTCGGGTCGTCAAAAAATCCCTCAGGAATTGCAGTCTCTTGCAAATTTTCACTGCTAAAACGGTATAGTGTACTTAACATTTACACGATAGAAATTTTCACTCGCCTTTTGCTGTTAGGCTGACTGGTTTCACCAGCACTACTTTTGCCGAGTGGTTTTGAATTCGCGTCCATCTTCACAGTGCCCCCACTTCTCCCATCCTCCCCACCGTCACTATCATCACCATCCTCACCCAACCTCTTTGACACCCCCGGATCAAAAAAATCTGCAGGTAGACTGCGAACAAAGGGAGTAATGGGAGATAAATTCTGAACCAGTGAATTCTCATTAAAATCCCCAAACACACAACTGCATTAAACTAGGGAGAAAGCAAGCTTACCTCGAATTTTCCACAGCTGCTGCCGAATTCTCTGCGACCACATCAACGCTAAAATTTTGGGAAAGCAATTGTAATGTAAAGAGAGAGACGATTAAAAGAAATTACAATTACCTTGACTTTTCCACGGATGTTGTCTCCACAACTACAGCGTCGCTGAATGTCACTATATATGAAGGTGAAAGTTCGGAAACATTATCACCCCTGACATAATATTATACAAACTTGATCATCTATTAATGGTTCTTTTAAAGACGATAATTTCAAGGTTTGACAAAAAGTTGACTCTACATGCTTTTATGAACAGCATCTCCTTATACATTTGGACTAGCAATTGGCGAAATCCTCTATTCCTGAAATCGTTCAGAATTATCTTTCTAGAAAGGTTTCCGCTATAAATATGTGTACTATAGGGGATCTCTTTACCCTTGTGTTTTTTAGCTGGCGGTTGGTCATCCGTGTCGCTGCTGGTCCCAGGGTCACTGTGGGAAGAAGGCTCTCGCATGGTCTTTTTTAGAACCGACACCAGAGGAGGAGGAGTAGGAGGATTAGTTACTGTGGCTCGGTCGTCTGCTTGTCCTTCCTCTTCCTCTCCACCTCCTCCTCCTTTTTCTCCTCTGCCAATGATGACAGCTGTCTTCTGCTGCTGCAGTAAAACGTCCTTTTTGTTCTTTAGTTCCGTCATTGTCTGAGAGAATGTAAAAATGTCACCCATCATTATGGGGTATTTGGGGAGAAATTTCCTTGATTTGGTAGCAATAGAATAGACACAGACCCCTCTCTATAATAATTATTAAACTGTGGTTCTGCCTATGACATAGGCTATGTATACCTCTTTATGTCGCCTACTCTTGAGGTGGGTGGACCAGAGCAGCTCGCTCTTTATTGCCTGCTGACACACGATGCAACTCAGCTGGTCCAGGGCGTTGTATCTGCAGTCACACAGCGAGATTTTACCGCGCACCCGCGCGTTGAGCTACGTACGCTGCACCTGGCCAGAGGATGGTCGATCTTTTTCGGCTGGGAGCTGCTCTTCACCTTTGCCTCCTTCATAAGCCGTCGGTAGTTCTGTTGCTTGGTCGTGGACGCCATTTCACTTGCTATCCCCAAAGAAAAAGAACGGGTGTGCGTTATTTAGAAATCGGAGGTTTTCAGGTCAAAGGTCGCTTATCGGGACGGACCGACTTTAATCGGGATAGTTATATACCGGGCCCAGCGACAGATGTCCGCTCATCACAGGGGAACGGCTTTGAGGCTCTACCGACGGCTAATGCGGCTGCACAGACGTCTTCCCGACGTGGACATGGCACAGATAGGCAGGCAGTTCGTGAGGGAAGAGTTCCACAGACACAAGACGGCAGACCCTAAATTTGTGACCAGTTTCATGAAAGAGTGGACGGTGAGTAGGGTTCATTTCCTCCTGAAAATGCGGCTGAAACCCTATTTTCACTTTTCAAAGCCTACTACCACACATCAAAAACTGGTTATTGTGCCCAATAAAACTACCTTTCTACTTCTTCTTGAACTGTGTGTATAACACCCATGTCTACAAACACACACACACAGGACTATGCAGAGGTGTTGGAGGGGCAGCTGGAGCCGGTAGACAGCGATGGTTCCGGTGAAGATATTGTGGTATTGGGAAGAAATTTCTCCAGCGTTGAACTTGATCTGATGAGTGGGCAGCAGCTTGGCCAGCTTATGGAGCTGAAGTCAGAGACAAACAAACCAAAACCAAACAGAACTGACGACCACTAGCATTATTTTTTATGTAATGCGCATGCGCAAAATTAGGAAGGCGTACCTCGCAAAGCAGCTAGCAGCGCGCGGCATCAAGGGAGCTAGCTAGAGCTAACTGGAGAGGGTTAGTGACGGATTTTTATGTGTCGTGCTCCTCTTTTCTGAACTGGTCTGCTTTTATCTAGCGCTGCTATTGTATATACTCCAAACACGTGCGTTTCTCAGCCGGCGTTCGTTTCGGCGTCAGTTTCCTGGAAAATTACTTTAGCGAGCGACAGTGTGGCGCGGTTTCATTGTCTATCTCCTTCCACCAGAAGGCCGGAACCTCTCTCTCTCTCTCCGTTGCACTTTTTCCCCACCCAGGGGGATCGGCTGGAGACAAGAGTTGCAACTGATGGCGCCGCCGGCCGTTCACAGCACCTTGGTCGGTCTGTTCGCTCTTCTCTTCGTCTTCTCAGTGGAGATTTGTAACGGTAAAACTTCATATTAGTTACTCGATGTAATCTAGCTCATTTTACTGCATATGGTTCCGTGCATTTGTCTTTGTGCACCAAATCCCTAAAACTTTGTCCTTGTAAATGTAATAAGATAAATTTTGAAGGAAAGTTACACCATCACTAGTGCAAGATAGGGACAGCTGGCGTGGAGTGTGCAGTTGATGTTGATACAACCCTAATTCGCAAGAGACAGTGACTCTGTACTATTAACGAGCTCTCCCTAGTATAAAACTGTATATTACGCTGCCCTATATACGCAACGGGCACGGTGTTGACTTCAGCTTGCATGCCAGGCAGTTGCAGGCTAGGCTGCTCTGTGTATACAGTGTATGTAGCTATGAAAACGTTGGTTGAAGTTGCAAGACATGAATAATGGGAGACGGGCGTCTGCCCCAAAGGATACCAAGAATCAAGCAGGCTCCACTGTATTTGGTGTGGTGACTCAGTGATTCTCGTTAAACTGCTGTGATTATTCGCTGCAACTACTTCACCTGCAGACGCAGCAATAATCTTTAAAGTTTTGAATTTGCTCTTCTGCATGATTTAGTGTTGGGTCTAGTGCCCTATCCTGGCATGGAAAATGATTTGGTAACTATTGAGGCATTCCTTCCTTGCTTTTCTGATTGGTAATAATAATACATCTGTGTACTCTGTGGATGCCGTGGGGCGGGCCTCATGCATTGCAAAGCAGTTCAAATATCTTCCGTTATGTTAGCATTTCACAGTGCAAACCCTGAAGTCGTCTTTTATGCAAACCGCAGAATCTTGCTACCGGACTCTCCCTGTGTGTTGTGTGTGTGTATGAGACCAACTATTCGTTATTAGTACCGCTGTTTTGAGAAGCTATTGCTCTGTGTGGGATATAAAGAGAGTTTCATGTTCATTAGTCTGTTGACCGACCTCACCTTATCATCAACAGTGAGAGGAATTTATTACCAGTGTTCAAAATCAAACAACCGGTATTTTCAAAACTGCACGTTCTCTGTCGTCCTTGACACCCTTAAACAGTTTGTATAGTTGGTAGCTTTCTGTCTAAAGGTGGCAGACCATAACCTCCGTTGTTTGTGCTCAAAATTCCTTTATTTAGAGCCGTACTCTATTCCGAGTACACTTATGGCAGTTTTATGGGGCTAGCGCAAGACACATTTATAGGAAATTTCGGAAGGTGTTTTCTCTGAGGTCTACACTGTGTTTATCTCTGTGTCGCAGGGTTCTACGTTCAGCCTGACGTGCTGTTCTCTCTCGGAGCAGCCGGTGAGCCGGCAGGTGGCGAGAGGCTCCAACTTCTCCCTGTCCTGCGGTGTTCAGTTGAGGGGGCTCTCTGAAGAGGAGGGCGGTCTCTACGTCCCTGTGGTCTGGTGGAGCTTTAATAACACCCGCATCTCTGAGGTACGTGGGATGTAGAGAGGGAGGGAGAGAATGAGAGAAACAAAGAGGAAAAAATTAGAAAGAAGTCTCTTCAATCTCGATGGCAGTTGGGGTTTGAATTTTAAAAATGCTGACAAATTATATACATGGGTTCCTAACTTTGTTTTAGACATCAGATCGGTTGTTCTATTTAAGTGATGTGTTGTTTTGTACAATGTCTGGCAAAAAATGTGCTGTGTTTCGACGGCACCCCCACGTCTTTTACAAACACCTCGCACAAGTGTTTTGTTTTCGTTGTGTGCAGGTTTTTCCAGAGGTGTCCGAGTCAGTGAGGTCTCTGGCACTGGTTTTCTCCGCTCGACCCTCTTTGTCCCTCGAGCCACACACGGTCACACGGGGACCTACCACTGTAACATCGAGGACGGCACGGACAGGGTCACCCAGAGGAGAGCGCCTGGTCTCTGTTGGAAACTTCCCTGTCTACCGTTCATCACAGCTAGCCACCCAGCCACCATCACCGTTCTAGGTCATTTGGTGCAGTTTATACTTTCGACTGTATAGTGTAACAGAAAGTAATAATCTTTCTTGTCCGACTAAGAATGTTGTGCATCTGTCACATCTTGCTACTGTATGGCTGAAAACGGGCAAGGGAGGAAACACTCACAAACTGGGAGGAAAATGGGATTTCCTGTAGGAAACTCTTGCATTACAAATCGTCCCCTCCCACCAAGTTTGAATTTCGCAGTTTTGAGAAATGTCGCAGTTGTCTTGGTAACTGTGAAACTTTGAACCCCTCGAAAGCTTACTGTGTTTTTCACGATCTATGCATAATTAATTATACTTACCTACACAATGAAACAAGATAACAATGTACAGGTTTTTCAAATTTGTTGTTGTGTAGGGAACTCGACGGTGGAAGAAGCGGTTGAAATCCAGAGCTGCTCGTCTGTTCTGCTACGGTGTGGGTCACTGCTGTCGACGCACGGTCTCAGACCTGTACTGGAATGGGTCTGGGACGGAATCACTCTCAACATTTCCTCTAATGTAAGGACGCATCAGACATCACATTAAGAGGGCGACTTGGCATATTGACTCATTGTAAGCATCTGTATACATATTACATGGGCTGTTTATCTCTCCGCTAAGATAATACTGTCACCCACACACAATTAAGTCTCCAGATAATGCAATTCATGACTCCATATAAAAACTTTTACCGACATATACATATCTTTGATAAGCTCCACGCATCATGCAACTGACATGCATGTCTCCCACGGTCCAATAAACACACGCACTGTGTTATTACTAGTCGGTGTTAACATCACTTTTTCCCCTATGATAGTGGTACGCCATCCTGGCAAATGGCGACCTGGTTCTGTATGATGAGTTAGAGGACAATGAAGGCAGTGGAGTGAGGGGACAATTTCAGTGCATTGCCCTGTCAGAGGATCATTCAAACCCTGCCGTGATAGCTTCCTACACAGTCGATGGAGGTATATAGCTATGTACAAATAGATATATAGACACAAGTAATCTTTATCCACACGTATGCAATATCTTGTGCTTGATATAAGCCTGCAGTGTATTGCTTATTAGTCTGAACATTTTTAAAGTTAGGTTTTTTCTTGTTGAGTTTGCTGTACATTGATATATTGTTTGTTGGTCTGAACTACATTTGTAAAGTTAAAATTCTAGGTTTATTGCTCAGTTTGACTGATCCTGTCTGTGCAGGTGCGGAAGGTAGTGGGGATCCGAGTTCTGTGCTACAACTGGATGTGTCCCCAGCCTCTCCAGTAACTGAGGGAGAATCGTTCTCAATTTACCTCAATTTCTCCGCTGGGCACTGTCAGGGGGGCCAGCCTCTGCACTGTGGATGGACCAGAAACGGCAGTTCACTCTGCTCACACGACAATGAACGGTACTTTTACGACTGTTGGGGTTGCTATCAACCTAGTTTGCTTTGGCATTTTCAAGAAGTACTTAATGATCCAAGGCAGTTGAAATAGAGTGTAGATGTGGGCATACAATGTTAACTCAGCTCTCTGCTATGCAGATACGTGGTTTGTCTTAAACAATTAGCCTTATGACGACAAGGGTGTTTAGTGCAAATGTATAGTTGTGATGGGGGGTGTTCTACAATGCTATAGGTATGGCTGTGGGGTGCAGGTGTTGACAGTAAAGTCGACACTGGACGTGTCTGACAGTGGTAGATACTGCTGTCTTCTGGACATTGACAGTGTTGAGACCACACACTGTATTGACATTGGAGTAAGACCTAAATGTGAGTCCTTCTTAGTTTAATGGGATCAGGTGCCAATAGTTTGGGGTCTCCATTGTAAGAGCTCTAGCTGCTGCTTTATAGCTACACCAATGGGAACCTCAGAGAAGACCGATTTTCTCCCCTCAGATCCGCCTCTTGTCTCCTCCCCTCACAATGGCACAACTCTCACCACCGTCCACCCATCACCTCTCACCCTCGCCTGCTCCCCTTCTCCCCCAACCTCCTCTCTCTTCTGGCTGTTCAACGGCGTGGCCAGACCAGACTGGAACGGTCTGACTGAGATTTCTCTGGAGACCCTCTCAATTGGAGTCTACCAGTGCTTCGCCGGGAACCAGTTCGGGTACTCTGTTGTAACACTACGGATCCTCCCAGATGGTTAGCAACTGTAATCATAGGGGTTGCTGATGATGGGGTATGCTATGGTAGCTGATGGCTCATTTAAAGTCTCCAACGTGCGATAAAATAATGTGGCATGATACACGCAAGGCACATGACTACTGTGGTGTTTGAAAAGGAGATCACACAATAATTGGGGAGCTCTTTATAATATTCCAAGACTCTAGAATTTTCAAAATAATCACTCACTCTCTCTCTCCCTGGCCTTGAAGTTTCCTTATACTACACTCAGTAGTTACTTTCTCTCTGCTCTCATGTGACTCTCATGTGACTCTCATGTGATTCTCGTGTGACAGGTCTAACAAACCCACCCGGTATTCCTAACTACCTCTACGAAGTCCCCAGACCGGACTCACTACATAGACCGGCGTACTACTTCTCCTGGGAGCCACCAACTTACCCACAGCTACTGGACACCGCCACCCGTGACTTGTACTATTCCCTCAGTACTATTCCGGCAACCCTCACCCGCAACAGTTCAACAGTGGCGTTCATTGGTCACGACACTTACGCCTCTCTCTTTACATTTGTGGTGGATGAGAATGGAGTGAAGCTAAGTGAAGGCTCACCAGCATTCTGGAGAAAGTTCAATGACTCGAGATGCTATAAGCTAGGTAGCTAACCTTCTGATCAATAGATGCAGCAGGAACCTTTCACATGTTACCATTCCAAAAGATTTCTTCACAAAAATTGTGATATTTGCGGGACTCTCAATTGATACTGTAGCTACCGCATCCCCCCTCGATATTACTATTACTCTATGACATATACTACACATCCATCAATCTATGCTTATTAACCCTTTCTCTGCAGTGTATTTCCCTCCACTGCTGAATGTTGGTTGTGACGGTGGACAAGCTAACCTGACGTGGACCAATAACCCCGAAAACACTCGGATCTATTATTTAACATTCTATAATCTCAATGAACACATTCCCGGCCGGTACTACATACACATCACCTGCTACCTCCAAAACAACATCCTCATTGAGGTATATACATCTACTTTATTTTTAATTAGCTACATCTATGATTCAACTGTTCATATAGGTTGAGCACGATTACAGTGAGAATGGGAGTAGTGTGTTTGAGGAGCTGGAGAAGCTGCCAGTTGGTAGTGAGTGTGTGTTCAGAGGAGCTGCTACTCCACCTGACAGAGAGCAGTGGCCTTCTTTCTGCCTCGACCCTGCCAATGTTGTCTACAGCACCACGTCCTGCCACACCACTGGTTGGTGCATGTAAAAGGGGTTTCTTTCTTTACTGGCTTCTTTAGTGTATTGCCGCGAAGAGAATCAGCTACCAACACAAACCACGATTAGACAGCATCTAGACAGAGCCTGAGCTATACCTTCTGCAACTGCAGTAGATCACTGAGCTACAACTCTCAGAGACAAAACGAATCCTTCATTATACTTCTTCACATCTTGTACGTAGCACATTGCCAATATAACGTCTCAAATTTTTTCAGCCTATGTTGAGTTTGAGAGGGGAAGCTACCAGGCAAATGAAGGGGAGAGATTCAAAGAAGTCTGTGTCACATCCAGAGGCTCCAACTTTTCCCTCCAACTGCTGGCTACCCATGAAGACAACAGCACAGAAGGTAGTAATCCATGGCTGCACCATACTCCAATTAAGCTCAGCTTCATATCCTTGAACCTGGTCTGCCATTTGTCTACCTTTGTGTCCTTATAGTGAGAGAAGTTGAAGTGACAGCTGCTGGTTCAAGTGTGTGTGTGGACGTTGACTTGAGAAATGACGAAGTTGTGAACAAACCGAGAAATATTTCCCTCTCTCTCCGAACTAGCAATGTTAGTATATCCACCGGTCCCTCTGCCATTATCACAACTCTCAATGATGACAGTAAGAATAAACTGTACTGTTAGCTACTTGGCTATCTGTTGCTACTTGTGAATATTTCTTTCAGTTGCTCGTGTGTATTTCACGAAACAATCGTACTCCCTGGAAGAGGGAAATACGACAGAAATCTGTGTGGAGACTGACATGGAGCTACCGATAACGGTCTACCTCAGCCCCTATACCAGTAAGCAAGCGCAGCACCCAGACGTTCTCATCTCTCACTGCTCTTACTGCAGATAGAAATAGCAGTGGAAGGTTGGATCTCCCTCAAGAATTTGCTCTAGGGCCTCTAGCAACAATCTCTTGTCAGCCAGTTACGAGTCACGATAATGATGTCGTTGATGAGAGTCAGACCTACCAATTAATGTTGCTGGATGGGGGAAACCCTCTCGTTAGTACCACTGGAGCTACTTTGACGATTGCCAACAATGATGGTAATATTAAAAAATGAAAATGCAGAAGTTTTTTTCAGCGTGTTCTGGATCAGTAGTTTGGTGTATATACAGTTTTTTTCCTTCCAGTTGTCAATGTGGGGTTCACTGGAACACAATATGAGGTGGAAGCTGGGGAGAAGGTGGAAGTGTGTGTGATAGCTGAAGCCACATGGAGGCTGGAAAAAGTGATTTCTGTCGATCTAATTCTCTTTGCTGGATCTACAGGTAATCACCACGGGGGAAGATCAAATTCTGTTTTTTCACATGTGAATTCTGTTGAGTTCAGGCAATGAAAGAGCTGTTGAGTTGAGCAAGGAGACACTGGAGTTTTCCACCAGTAACACGACCAGCTGCGTCTCTCTCAACACTAGTAGTGGCATAAGCAGCACTGCTACATTCGAACTGAAGCTGGTCAATTCCAGAGCAAAAGATATCCGCTACTTTAACAACACGGCCTACATCACTGTTATGGGAACAGTTTCTTCTAGCCATAAGCAAGGTAACGTTAGTTCTACGAAGTTTTCTTTTCCTTTTTGGATTTTCTGCAAGAGTGTGTCAGTTAGTGACCTTTTGTCTTTGCAGATCACACTGAAGTCATTTTAGCATCAGTCATGCCTTTTATACTGGTGTTTGTGACTGCTATTCTCATTTTTCTTCTGCTCCTGCGGCGGCGGTACTACAACCACAGGGGCCTCTATACAACACACAACAAGTTTCATCAGGTTAAATAACGTTTATAGCAAAGTATTATACCTATTGTTGTTCTTTAATAGGAGTCACTGGAGTATTGTGATTATGAGCCAAAGCCTATATCATTTGGAAGCTCATCTACAGTATATGACTCAGTGACAAAACCAGCACCTGACAGTGACGTACGAAAAGATTTGGATATCGAGAGTTTGACAGACTCTTGCGACCAGCCCCTGTTTTTCTACGACGGAGAAACATTTCAGGGTGGGAGGGAGGGAAAGGAGAAGGTTGAAGAGGAGGAGGAAGAGGGGAATATGGCAAGAGAGAGACTCTGTTACAGAGACAAGGACGACACGTTCGTCTCTCGGCAGTACAGAAAGCCAGCGTCAGAGTGTATCAAGCGGCTCTCAACACGAGTACATCGCCTCGGACTCTATAATGTTGTGCAGCTACCCACCGAGTATGACTGGGAATATCGGCAGTGGTGGTGGCTGGCAAAGACACCACTCTACAGTGGCCGAGATGACTCCACAGGAGGATCGAGAAACCGAGACAACAACCGACACTATAACTCTGGGTGAACGCCCTGAAAACGGCGCCACAGACTGTAAAAGTACGGGGAGAGGTTTTGGCACTACCGCTACCGCTGCTGGGACAGATGCCGAGTCACTGGGTGTCTTTGGAGATCTGACGGCGGGTTTCAGGAACCTGTTGAGTGAGGTGGCAGATTTGGCCGTTGGGGACAGCGGTATAGATGTGCAGAACGAAACATAGAATTTCACCCGTGACTACATCATATCACTTATATACACTAACTCACATAATGTTATGCCATAATAATAAGATGCTGCAGCGTGTATGATTATGCATATTATTCATTATTAAAAGGTTAACGCAGTTGGTATAATACGCTGTGCTTACGTAACGCGGTCGCATAATTTATCGTGGTCGTCACCACAAACTTTGCAAGCACGACGACTCAAAAATAATTTTCATGACAATATGGCCGTGATGTGCTGCAGCAGCTTGCTGGCTCTGTCCCTGGGAGTACTCCTGGCGGCCTGGTGGCTAGCTGGGAGAGACGTTCCGGCCGGCTACGACCGTCCGCCCGTTACGAACGCAGGTGAGCCGTTTGTCGGGTGAATGAAAGAGGCCAGCCACGTGCATAAATTATGGTGGGAGGTGAATGATTGCTCGTTGCATGTTGTTTATGGGGCGACCCGGCCTAACTTCGGTTCACACGCACCTGCATCTGACCTGCAGGTTCTGCTAAACTGTTTTTTTAATCTTTTGTCAGACGGTTCAGTTTACTTTGACCATACCAATCTGCTGATGCCCTCAACCGTTGAAGAAATAGCGGAAATAGTTCAGTCTGCCAACCGAGATGGTCGCAGTATTAAGGTCCTTGGAGCTGGACACTCACGCTCAGCCATTGCTCACTCCAATGACATCTACCTGTCTCTTTATAACTACAGAGGTAGCTAGCGAAGCTGTATGTGCTATTGCCTTCCTATTTCCTTCCTATTTCCTTTAGATCTATATTACAGAGTAAGTGAGCGATTGTTTGTCGAATTTAGTAGGGTTCTGAACCATGTGTGACTGGATTTCCTGTCGTCATTTCCTATATATCTACAGGTGTAGTAAACATTGACAGACCCACGAAGAGAGTGGCCGTAAAAGCTGGGACGCTGCTCAAGCACTTGAACAAACAACTCAGAAGAAATGGACTGGGCCTCAGTAATCTGCCAACTCTCGGCGATCAAACAATCGGCGGAGCACTTGCCGTTGGTAAACACTGAAAATAATTATGTTTACAGCTCGATTTCAATGCGAGTGGGGGTTGTTAAAGATCGAGAACTTTTATAGGAAATGTGAAGAACTTGTAGATAATTCCCCTCCACAAACTTTCGACTTTGGAAAAAACAGTCTTTATTCTCCCTGTGAGTGGAGGATCTCACACAAAAAGATAGCTACTTATGTGGTATCATAGACTGTTATCCCTTTTCTACTGCATGAGACTTCCAGCAAACTTCAAACTCATTTTCTAGCTATTTTCAACAGGGAGCCATGGAACTGGTCTGAACTACGGGAACTTGGCAACATTAGTGACTCATCTCTCCTTCGTCTCGGGCACTGGGAAGGCAAGTGGGCCCAAATGCCACCTTCGTTTGCATTTTATTTGACTTTTGTGACTTACCTAACACTACAGCTCATTTCGGTCAACGCCTCATCAGATCCCAATCTCTTTAAAGCAGCTCTGGTAAATCCCTTTTCCCCCAATTTTAAACTCGTCGACTCACCCGTCCCTCTCTCCGTGCGATAGGTTAGTTTGGGGATGATAGGAGTGGTCACGGAAGTCACTTTCCAGTGCGAAGAGGCGCACAACTTGAGAGAGAATATCACAGTTTTGCCCGTGGATCACTGCCTGCGGAACCTCCCACTCTACTCTTCGCAGTCGGATCACGGAAAGTTCTGGATCGAGGCCCACAGTGGAGTGTGTGCCATGTTCAGTGTCTGGAAGACAAATCAACCGGTCACGGAGGTGCAGGGAGTGTGGTCGTGGGATGTCAAGGTAAAAATTGGGTAACAGCGCGCAACATCATGTGATTTCCATGAATATCTGTTACTCACTATCACTGATGGGGACTTTGCACCCACAAGCAAACTGCTGATCGATTTTATCACAGGTCTCTAATACTAAAAGGACCACACAAACTGAAAAACAATACTTAGTTGTGCAGAACTCTCCTTTGTTAGAGTATTGTTAGAGTTTTCTACTCTATTGTAAGCATCGATAGTTGTTTTTTCCCCCGTTAGAATCGAATATCTGAGCCACTGCTGTGGCTGGGTTCATGGCTCCCAAGTGTCAATCCACGCATCGTATCGTTTCTCTACAACAGTCTTCAAATCTTCACTCCCTACGAACGCATTGATGCAAGTGAACATGTGTTAATTCCGCCTCTCTACGTACCTGCAAACCACCAGGTAATACACACACTCTTGCTGTAGCTGATGTTTTTTTAATGTTTCAGTAACATTTTGCCACCTGAATTTTCACAATGAAATTTTTCAGAAAAACATTCAAATTTTGACGTTGCAACACATTATGTGTGGCATAATTATATACACAGTTGGAGTTTGGGGTTGACATGAAGGATTGCGTGGCTGCTGTTAACGAGACTGTACATCTGGCGAGAAGTAACCCACACACCAACATGTTCACAGAGGTAGTTATCCGCACATTTGGCATAGTTACAGTGAAATATACACTTCAAAGAAAGAAAGAATCATTTCGTGACTTGGTGTTTATCCTCTTAATGAGGGAGGATGTTTTAATAAGGATGGTTTCGTGGTCTCGGCGTGTGCACGGTGAAGGTTTCTTCGTTTTCCTCCGTTGTGCAGGTGAGGTATGTGAAGAGAGACGAAATATTCCTGAGTCCAAACTACCAGCGCGACTCGTGCCAAGTAACAGTCATAATCTACAATCCTTCGCACGACGTCCTCCACGGCTATTTCGACGCTCTGTGCGAATCTTTCTCGCGGTATTCTGCCCGCCCTCACTGGGCCAAGCATCTGTGTGGGCTAAGAAGGAGTCAACTGGAAATTCTGTATCCCAAACTGTCAGATTTTGCCAAGATCAGAGCAGATATGGACCCCAATGGTGTCTTTATTAACAATCCTCTCAGAGATTTATTTAGTTTTTAATAGTCCTTTCTGTATAATAAAGGTTCTTTTATCACTCTTGTATTATTATTATTATTGCTCAATTTAGGACTTTAAATTATAATGTTGTAATCAGCAAGATGTGACGGGCATATAAGTATTTATGATAGGTGGGCTTGGAAGGGGCTAAAAATATTGCCGAATGGGCTAAAAATTTGACTGGATATGAGCTCATGCATGTGTCAGTTTTTCTGTTAGTATGTTGTGAAGATCAAATGGTAATGTCTACACTGCAGACATCACAACTTCTCTCGCAGTTTCTGATGAAGGTTCATCTCTGAAAGGAGAGAAGAGGGAGAGTGGGAGAGGGGTGAGAAGGGTGAGAAAGAGAGGGAGGGAGAAGAAGGAGGAGTAGAAGAGTGCAGTTGTATATTATATGCAGTGACGGCAGCTGGTTCCATACTTGGAGTCCTCAGGCACAGGTTCCGGACTGGACTCGGGACTGTGAGAGAGCTTGATTGAGAACTGAGGGCTGTCGGAGTCTCTCGCCAGAGCCAGGTGTGCCATCTTCTCCTCCATCTTCTCGTCTTCTCCCAGAGAGAAGGCATCCTGTAACACAATCACACGCTTGAGAATTAGTTTTGTGCCAAAAGACACAGGTTTATATCATCGTCTTCTCCCAGGGAGAAGGCATCCTGTAACACAACCACACACTTGAGAATTAGTTTTGTGCTAAAAGACATAGGTTTATATCATCGTCTTCTCCCAGGGAGAAGGCATCCTGTAACACAACCACACACTTGAGAATTAGTTTAGTGCCAAAAGACACAGGTTTATATCATTGTTGCCCACAAGGTATAAAGCGTTCGGTATATATAATTATACCTTACAGTAAAGTAAATCTGACCATATGGCTATATAAAAAGAGTGATGAACTACTTAAGCTAAGATGGACACAACTAGCTACATAGCCAGATCTAGTGTACGGAACCCTTTCATAGTGCTGTATTATAGAGTAGGCTATGCTGATTAAGTGTAAAGATGTTCTCTAACTTCAATGATGGCACTGGGAGGTCGAGAGGGTGCCTGGGAAATGACTCCGCTGCGGGTCATGTTGATATAGAGTTGAAGTGTGTCCAGAATCTCCTCGCGCTGGTAGCTGTAGGCATTGTAGTCGTCGGAGGACCAATGGCAGAAGTTCTGTGGTGGCGGATCGTATGGAGAGGGAGCATATTTTCACGTGTTCACGTGTACAGACCGATCGATGTGTACTGATAGAGTTAATCTAATGCAGCATAGCTGGCTTAGTACTGTTACATTTTGCCGTAGAAACCCAGGCTCAACTGCAGTACATTAGCAGAACAAGAGGCTCAACTGTAGTAGGCAGTAAGTTTACAGTATGAGAAGACCTATATTATACACTTTCTCTTTGAGTACAGAGTCTGTCTAATGGACATGTACCCCTCGCAATGACGGCATGCAAGGGGCATGTTTGTGTGTGTGTGTGCGCGACATTCTATGGCTATTGTTGGTGTATCGGTGATTCAACCCATACATAGTGGCATACCAGTTTGAAGGCGTTCTCTCCATATTGCCAGTCGTAAATGTCCGAGAATCGATGTGTGAATATTACCTGCCGAGAATCACAAATTCAATTTCTAGAACAAAAGTCGCAGAAGTGTAACCGTATTATGCATACCTCCCCAGTTTCCTTGTTGACGCTGAACACTCCGTGGTTGTTGATTCCAAAGAGCTGTGGGTGCATCTTCTTCCGGTGAAACATCATATCATGCCCAGGCACCTGTGGATCAGTACAATATACACACAGTCTCTCTCTCTCTCTCTCTCTCTCTCTCTCTCTCTCTCTCTCTCTCTCTCTCTCTCTCTCTCTCTCTCTCTCTCCAGCACACACAGTTATACTAACACACACAATGTTTCTCTCCCCATTGGCCCAGTGTGGACTTTATATTATACAGAGGCTCCACTTCAGATCATGATAGCTATGCATCATACATAGATCTGTCACTGATATTGCCACAGTGAAGAGGTGCTGGATTTTAGAGACGGGACTTACAGACACTTCGTAGAAGATTCCCCTGATGGGTGATCTTTCTGCTGCAGAACTCGCTTGCCTCAACGATGCACTCTTGGGCCGTCCTACCACTCAGCCTCTTGTATACCTGCCACATACACATAGAGATGAGAATACGTAGGTATATAAATTATATAGCTACTGCCACATGCACATAGAGATGAGATATAGGTATATAAATTATATAGCTACTGCCACATACACATAGAGATGAGATATAGGTATATAAATTATATAGCTATTGCCACACGTGGTATAATAACTATGTATTTACCCTCTCCACTTCACTAGTTACACCAAGAGATTTGGATTTGCAGTAGACTTCGGGCAGGAAGGCCTTCACACTGAAGAAAGAGAAAAACAATATTGTGCACAGCACTACGATTTGTAGGTCCATAAAAGGTGGGGGGCTAGCTGGTAGATGGATGTACGCGACTCACTCATAGTCTGGAGGAGGCCAAGATTTGTATTTGGATCTGTCTCCATAGTACACGTGGGTGAGTAGGGCTGCAAGCTGTGATAAGATGGAAGCAGAATTTCTTTAGCTATACACAATTGAAGGCACAGGGGTAATACGTGAAGCCTCTTTTAATGGACATACATCCATTGCTTAACTAAAAAAAAAAAGTACTAAGTAGGATATGGTCTGCATTGCTCACTCTAGTGGCGTCCACTTTGGTCATGGGGTAAGCACCCTGCACAGCTCCGCACCAGCTCTGGTAGAACTGGCGATAGCTCCGCACGTCCGAAGTCTCGTGGAGCGGCCACTCTTGTCCCATGTCAACCTCGTCGTGACCGGGTACTCCGAGGTCTGTCTCCTCCACCAATCCCTTCCCCTGTGGCTCTCTGCAACTGTGGAGAGGACAAATTTGTAGTACTCAACTCGTGTTCCCCTTCCATACATCTTCAAGAGTTGAACTCTCAACTTCATGTATTTGGCGGCATTCGCTGCGCTCTTTGATGCCTGACCGACGCTATATATACCTATTTTCAATCTTCGCAGTTCCAAGATACAGGTTGTAAATAGGCTAGGACATGCAGATATGTGACATGTACATCATACCACATTTCCTCTTCTCAATTAAAACTGGGAGAGTCCTATATTATAATTATAATTATCATACGACTAAGGGCTTACTGGAGGTGAAGGATGAATGGCTTGATCTCAAAGTCATATTGCTCTTCGAGTGACTTGTCCGACTCTAGTTCCAGCTTTGGAGCTAAAATAATTATATATACAAGTGCAGTATATACATCGTCATCTTCAGCCTACACTCTAATAGTCTCACCTATTGGGACTGATGCTGTCTTTCTCAAAAATTTTCCAACTCGTTTTTTCTGCAAAACAAAAATTTCCTCCCATATCACAAATGTAATGTATATAGTAGTACTAATACTCACCGGTTTTCCGCCATATTTCTGGAGGATGTTCTTCATTCCCTTGGGGAGCCAGAATTTCTGTCTTGTCTGGTCCTGAATGTTGAACGTGGCGCAGGCCACCTGCACAACCTCTCTCACTGGCTTCTTGATGTTCAGCTAGGAAAAAGAGTGACATTTGACCCACTACTATACTACCACCACTGTTTGCTACTAATAATGTTTACACATAAAGCTAGGAGAAAGAACAAGCTTCTGTCTGGGGCAAAGGAGGGAGTCCAGTGCACTAAGCACTGAGCAGGCAATATATAGCTGGTTCTCTCACCTGGTGTGCGTAGCTATAACTGCTATTTTCAATCACTACAGTACCTAGCTATAATTGTACTAACAGGACGTATGTTGTGGAGTTTTTAAGTAGAGTACCAGTAATGATCTCTTGTCTCGGTCCATCACCACAATATGAAACAGTCTGTAATCCCTCAAAACATCACGAAAGTCCTGTAGAAGTTTCGAAAGTAGTTCATAATCAAACATGTATATAGATTTTTGTTATTGAGAAGTGACTAACCAGGCCAAAGTATTCAGGGATATAGAGAGTTGCAGAGAAGCTGTGAGCTGTAACTGGACTCAGCGGAATCTTCTCCTTCTCTTCTTCTCCCGGTTGCCCCGGCTCTGAATGAAGGTCATAACATACTGAACACAATTTTGTATCACTGAAGAGGTTTCTTTAAGCTATAGTAAGACTCCAAAAACTGAAAGTGCTGCTTCAAAAAGCACATGCTGTGCCATCTGTTGTGCAGCAAAAAGGGCCACCAGACCACCTCAATACGCCCGTGAATTCATAGAGGTGAGTTTCTACCTTCGTTTTCTTCCTCGTTAATTTTGATGCTCGGCACGGGAGGAGGAGGAGGAGGAGGAGCGACTTGAATTATGGGCAGAGGGTTACTGGGAGGAGTGATGGTGGTTCCTCTCGAGGTTTTGGACTCACTTGCTTCCTTTCTGCAGCCAGACAACACAAGTGAAAGATACTTGGGTTTCAAACCAACTAGCATCCGCAATACCAGTAGCACTACACATGCAGCAACTGGTTAAGAGGATTGTAAGTAAAGACTCCTGACCGACTAGAGTCACAATGGTCTGTGGTTGCTCAGGTGTAGGTGGTCGCTTGAATTCTTCTTCAGGTGTGGGCGGTTGCTCGAATTTCTCCTCCATTTCCTCGGGTGTTGTTGGCTCTGGTTTCTTGGTTGACGCGTCTTCCTCGGGTGAGTCTTGGAGTGAACCCTCTGCTCCCGTCTCCTGCTCCATTTCGTCCAGCTGTTGGACTGGCTGAGGCTCCACGGCAGTTTGTGGCGACTGAGGGGCTGGTTCAGGTGATGGATTGTGTTCCACTGGGAGTTTGGAGCTACAACGGCTGGGGCAGGAACTGTTGGTGTTGGGGTCTCAGCCGCTGGTACTCGTGTAGAGTGTAGCGGAGACTGCTTCTTCCTTTCAGCTACACATTAGAGAAAAAATATTGTTGGAGCAGTAAATACTCGAATAGCAGTGGAATTTTTTTAATCGGGACACCAATGGGAGGGAAAGTGTGCAATCTATATAGAGAAGTGTCCTTATTTCAGGGGTGAATTGACTGCAAGAGCTGTTCGTGGGGAAAGAAAGGTGTCTTTATCAGAGAGGTGCCATTCATTTCAGGAGTGCCTTAGAGAAGGGTTCTACTGTAGCGGTAGTAGATGTGTTGTGGAGATGCTTACTTTTCAACTTTGTCAGCCTGAGACTCTCTGTGATGTGGCTGGCAATTTGGAGGCAGTAAGCGGTGATGAATTCGTAACGTGATCCCAAGGCGTTCTGGGGAGTGATAGATCACAAACATCCACATTCATAGGTTGTTTTTAAAAAATATTTATGGAGAGTGATATGGTACTCACCACGGACACAATCTTCTGTTTATGGGTGGAGTTGGCTCCTCTGATGTTTATGTAGCGCCACTCGCTGTCATCCACTGGCTGTAGAAAAACTCCCTATAATAGCTCCATACATCTAGGTGCCACCCCCAAGCCTATCTACTGTATAGCTATATACAACAATACTAAGTGGTAGGAGGAGGTGGTGAATGTTCTGTGAGATTTGCATACATAGCTCCATACACGTATGCTGCTAGGTACCATGCCCATCTCTATCTTGTACTACCATAATATGAAACCCGAGATAATAATAATATGACAGGGGTTTTCAGGCTCCGGTGGTGCTATAATATTTTACCTGAAGCCTCCCATCTTCAATGGCGCATTGTGTGATGCCATTACTATGACACACCAGGACATAATCATCAGGGATTTCCTCAATCTGAGATAAAATAATAGTACGTAATGAGAGTTGACTGGTTGAATGTCCAAGACTCCAAGTTGGTCTTAATAAGCCAATTTGGAGGTGTGAAGCCTTATGCAGACATAGTAATGTTCCTACCTAGTTGCTAGGAATAGACATCTTAGGGTATACACATTATTTCTATATTATTATATACTCACTTTGATGGGATAGTAAGTGGTGACAATACTTTGTGGAGCTAGGAACAGTCCCAGCATCTTGATCTTAGCATCGTCGTCCGACATCCCCACCATGCGCTCTTGGTAATAGACCTGCAAGTATAGCTACATTATGTATTTCCAGCTACCGGCAACAGTCAGGACTATAGCATTCAGAGGAATTTGGGGAATGCTCCTGATTGGATTACCGAGGACTGAAATACTATCGCAGAGCCATGGCCTCTATAGCATTCCAATCCTCTCCCGTCTTCATCCAGGAAGTTTGCCAAGTTACTGTGATGTGTGTGGATGGGAGTTAGCAAGCTAGGGGTTTACCGTGATGAGTTTTGAGGGGAAGGATTCATCTTGTTGTCTGCATTTTGGGATGACTTTGCTTGCCACTAGGTCATCACTACAGGGTAACACGAGAGGGGTGGTGGATTATGATAGGTATGTAGATCGGTGGGAACGATAGGAGAGGGTAAGATTTCTCTGTTCTCACCTAATAGTCTCATCCTTCTGCTCAATGTGGTGTAGATAACAGCTTACCTGCACAAACATTACATTAAAACACGCTCTCAGTTACATTAAAGAAAGCATTTACTCTCGCAGGTGCCTACATGCTCATAACTCTCCTATGCATTATTCCATTGGCCAATAATACTGGTGTAATATTATTTCGGAGTATAAGTAAAAGTGTACAACGTACTTGTGCCAGAGCTTTATCTTTGTCCACACCTGTCATCCCGACAAAGACGTCGCCTAGAAACATTTCACCAATCTGCAGCGAACACAAGTCACACATGACAAATGGCTCTGCAAGGTCACGAGACTAAGGTGTGAACACTGTGAGACAACTGTTTGTACTGCACACCTGGTGGTAGAGAATGTCCCGCAAGAGGCGGTTTCCAATTATTGCCTCCTCAACATCGTCATTCAGAATGAAAAACTTCTTCCTGTTTGCATCATAAAACCATTCAATACAGCATCTCAAAAGTCTAATCTGTTACCTTAATAACAGGGTGTCTCCATCTTTAACCCCTTGCCCATTGAGTGAGCTCTGGGGGTTCAGCCACTGATCTGCAGAAAGTTGTAAGAGATTGAATGAGTATCAAATGTATAGCCGCCAGGAAGTGAAATGAAAGATCGGACAAACTAACATTGTGTTGCACTGCTGTCTTCGTTTCTCTCTGCTAGGGCTAGTGATAGCTCCAGTCCGTGCTCAACAGAAATGCTATCACAGATGGCTTGAATCACGTCCATCACAGGGTACCCAGAGTTAACCTAAGAGGGATAAAAAAAAACAGTTCAAGGTGGTGTTAGTTTGACTTCACGGTTTTACTTGCCTCTACTGTCCTCATTTCTCCGTGATGGAGATCAATGTTGACTGAGATGGGCAGTGTCTTGTGCCTGAATTCTAGTTCATCCTGTGCAAAGAATAAATAGCCCCTGAACAAACTGTGTAGCTCCTTCCGCAATGAGCTACTTTTGACGATTTCCCGAAGTAGCTATATATGTTTCACAATTTGGTTTAGTAGGTCATTGCTACTGGCCGACTGAATTCACAAACGTTTTTAACGTAGAGTTGCTTTAAAGAAATTCGGTGAAAGAATTTTGCTGCAAGTTGTACGGTAATTCTAGGATCAGAAAGAAAACCTCCAGCTCCATAGCTAACTATATGTTTCCTGGAAGACTTGCTTGGGAGCGGAACATTCCCCAATTCTTTCCGTCAACCACAGAATCCCAGATTTGCACCTTCCTGAGATGCCACTAATGACGTTGTCACTGAAAGACCTAGCAGTGTCGGCATGCATATTGCCCGCCACACCTCTAATGTTTGTGTGTGTGGAAACAAACACACGTATACTTAGTCACAGTGTTGCATCTCGCTCAGTTTGTTAATTTGAACTTGTGTGCACTGTCCATGCAAGGATTCAGAATGCCAGAGTTGTTAAGAAACACTCTCACTCTCTCGGTAGCTACATGTACATTTTTGTGCTAATATAGCTATGAAATTATGTTCAAGGTATTATTATTGCGAATGAGTGCCTGCTTTTTACGAAGCTCTTGCTACTTTCCCCCCCGTTTATCTTTTGCCTTACGTCTTTTTTGATGCCATATTCTGTGATGTCACGCTCTGGAATGAGGCAATTTCACCTCTACTGCCTGGCCTCTTCAAATAGAGATCGAAATCTATTGAAAAAATCGTAATATAAAGTGCAAATGCACCAGAAATTGGTTAACCTTTCTCTAGCTGCGCATGATCACGTTTATGGACCGACTGGAGAACAAAAGCGCCCTCTACGAAAAACCAGTTGACCTTTGCATCTGCGTACACCTTAAATTGAAAAAATTATCTTATCTGTGCAGTTTCTGCGATCTATACTATTGTGCTGATCGAGATCTCACCAGGACGCCTTTTGGCGGGTCAGTATTAGGAGAGTGACGACCGCTGGTGATGCTGAGCCGCACGGAAATAGCCCGCTTGTCCCGATCTCCCATTATCTTGAGGAGAACCATACGTCTGTTTATTACAGTTCCAATTTCGTACGAACTGCAGCGCGCGCGCACACTTATATTTTCGATAATGCGCATGCGCACAAATAGGCGGTAAAACTTTGAACCCCAGTAATTAAATCTCGCGCACGCCCCTTCAGGAGAAAAGAGGCCACGTCAAGCCACCTGCCGCCGAGCGGAGCGAATTATAACGGCAAAAAAGCGTAGGTGAGACCCATCTTCTTCCACTCCTCTTGAAACTGTACACGTGTTGCTCGCTGCGGCCGCCCGTCAGTCACTTGTGAATGTGTAATTGACGTTGTAGGTGTGGTCGAATCGAGGGCGTCCCAGGATGCCGATGATAAAGCTACAGAGCTCGGACGGGGAGATATTCGAGGTGGACGTAGAAATAGCCAAGGCATCCAACACCATCAAGACCATGATTGAGGGTCGGTGTTTAGAGTTAGTGTTGTCTTCTCAGAGTGACTGAGTATGTTTCTGAACAGATCTCGGTATGGATGAGGACGATGAGGAGCCGGTACCTCTCCCTAATGTCAACGGAGCCATCACGAAGAAAGTGAGGTTTCTTTCCCACACGCCACAAAGCTCGTATTCCCTTACTTCCCCTCAATCGCTATTTCTTCTTATCTCACTTCCTGTCTCCTTTCTCTTCTCTTCTTTCTGTACCTCTTTCCCTCTTCCTCTCCTCCCTCCTCCCTCCCTCCTCCCCCCTCCTCCCTCTTTTCCCCCCACCCTGTTATTATGCAGGTAATAGACTGGGCAATCCACCATAAGGATGATCCCCCACCACCCGAAGATGACGAAAACAAAGAGAAGAGGACAGACGACATCGAGCCCTGGGATCAGGAGTTTCTGAAAGTTGATCAAGGCACTCTCTTTGAGCTCATTCTGGTCAGTATGAATATCAGTAATTGTCTATGGAGTTCAATTCTAGCATGCTAACATATTGGACCCATTCTAGCATGCTATTGGCTGTAGGCCCACTCTGTGGTGGTATTGCCTAATAGAGTGTGTAGATACATAGTTTGAGGAGTGTTGCAACAGCCCTGTCCACCCAACCACCCAGTCATTGTTTGCACTTGTTGGGGGACACTGTAGCTACATTCTGTGGCCTGTAAGGCCACCCTTGATATTGCAATTTGGTAGTTTTGTGCTCTAATCCAAACCTGAACAATTCAAAAAGAAGTTTATATTACAAAGTCTGGCATAGAGTTCTTGATCATCACTATAGGCTGCAAACTATCTGGATATCAAGGGATTATTAGATGTTACTTGCAAGACTGTGGCCAACATGATCAAAGGTAAAGATGTATAGCTTATAGCAAGGCATTAGACTACAGCTATCTTCCTACTTGCTGTTGTACAGGTAAGAGTCCGGAGGAGATCAGGAAGACATTCAACATAAAGAACGACTTCACACCAGAGGAAGAGGAGCAGGTACGTAAATGTGCAATGGACAGTGATGTTGTCATAATAATTATTGTGTTTACAAAATAACCAGATTCGGAAAGAGAATGAGTGGTGTGAGGAGAAGTAGACTGCCGGAGGATGGGCTTGGTGTAATCACGCATACTCTTTTGCTGACGTGTATAAGCCCCAGCGTTTTACTCCCTTCATAATGGTCATTTACTATACGCGCATGCGCGCGATGGCGAACACGTGATAGCTACGTACGGCGCGCGCAAAGCTGAATCGAGTGGCGCAGTTTTACCCACAAACAGGCGCCGGCCCAGCTGAGCTGCAGCTTGTGTACAGTCCTAGCTCCTCAACTCACACCATGTTTCTCACTGTGGCTGTGGGCTCCGTGGTGGGAGCCTGTTCGTTTGTTGTTGGTTGGGTGACAAGCCGTTGGAAGTCTCCTCCCGAGGTTCCAGACACCAGCGAACAGTTTCGTTCTGAGCAGAAGCCAGTGAAGGTGCCACGTAAGAAGCTGAACGAACTTCTGCCATCCACTTACGCCGAATACAACAAACTAACGGGTGAGGCGGGGAAGATGATGCAATACAGAGTCGAGACCGTGAAGGAAATGAACACCATTGCTAAAGGACTGGAAGACAAACATCGCGGCCTCAACTTAGATAAGTTGATCGGGTCGAGTGCCGGAATCGTTGGGGCTGCCGTTAGCTTTGTCGGATTCACTTACGTTTTGTTTACGCCCGGCGCGAGTGCCCTGCCTGCGTGCGTGGGTGGAGCGGCGCTAGCTGCAGGAACCACGATGTCTGTGGGCGCGCACGTTTACGCCAAGATACTTGAGAGCGAGAATCTCACCAAAGTGAAAGACAAGAAACAGTGTGGTGAGGAAAGACAAGAAACAGTGTGAAAAAGTGATGAGGATGTTGGAGAGTTTTGAGAGCTATCCACAAGCCGGGGTGGTAGCGGATGAGGCCGTAAAGCATTGCCTCCAACAGTTTGAAGTCGATGTTCGAGGAGATGTAAGGGCAAAAAAGTCAATTGTTAGTAACATTTTGGAACCTGTCAATGCTGTATTTGAAAAGCTAAGCGAATTTAAAGAGACGCAGAATGCCAAACCAATAATTGAAGTGATTTTGAGTGCTGTGTTGAGTGGTACGGCTCTTACAGTATTTACAATACTGAACCATATTCTATCTTACATTTCCAAAAATGCTGATTTTGTAGCTACAGTTATTGCTTATCTACTCATAGCTACGATTGGTTTGGGCAATGTCTTGGTGCTCATAATACTCTGTCACAAGGGCCTACATTCTAAAGTTGCAACAAAGATTCGCAAGAAAGCTTCAAAGCTTGAGCCAAACCGTAACGATGATGGAGACTTGCTCTGTGTGCCTTTTGTGAAGTCAACTTTCGTGTAACCCTATGTACATTGTACATCTCACTTGAACACAGTGTAGCCTAGCTTTCACTTCCAATTTTGATCATCATTTTACACAGTTTGTCTGTACTAAATCAAAAAGCACTTTGTTCCCTCACTAGCTACCGCCTTTAGATGTGTTTCTGTATAATATTATACCGTATAGCGGGAAATTTTCGCGTGGTGCAAAATTTCGCGGACAGGTGTGCGCGAAAATAAAACCACGAAAATTTGAATAGATATGACGTCACTGCTGTAAAAGCGGGGGCGGCGGGGCTAAGAAGCCGGCCAGCAGCACCGAGATCACGCGCGATGGCTCTTTATCGCTATTTTCAACCTGCAGCAGATTCCCTTCCCGACCCCAAAGGACCTCTTTCAACAAAACTCACATCCTCCACGATAAGAGAAGCTAACGAAACCGTTAGAAGCGCCCCTACGAAGCCGTGGCGAAGAGAGGAAGCTACGCTAAGTTCACACCTGGCTCTACCAAAATTTGGGCGTGGTCTTACGTTGGGCGCGTGCGCTAAATTAAAAAAACGCGGCTGGAGGGCGGAGGCAGGCTCCGGCTCCATGGACGACCCCGCGAAATATGCACCCGCGAAAATTTCCCGCTATTACCCAACGTGCGCGCGTGTGGGGGCGCGCGCGCCAAGGCATAATGTTTTCGAGCGCATGCGCAATAAAACCGCAGCGTACGTACCCCTCGATCATGGTCTCACTCGCGGGGGATCTAAAACCGCATATTATAGGCGGCGAAGCGTAGTCCAACTAGCCAATCACAATGCTGAATTTATGCTGTGTCATCCTGCACTAATGACAGTTGTCGGAAGCCAGACAATTTACACTACGCGCTAGGTGTTGTGATAAGGACTTCCTGTCCAACAGTGCAGCCCGCAGCCCACAGCGCCTAGCACCGAAGTTGGACTACAAACGCAGATAAATAAGTGGTAGTGCCCCAGGGATTTCCCCCTGCTGTACGGCGCTGTAGAGCGGAGCAAAGAGCAAAGCATGGGCTGTGTGTCGTCGTCTACCCCTACTGTGTCTTGTAGCCGTAATAAGCTGAATAAGCTCCTAGTGGACTCTTACGGACGCCACAAGGAGCTGGTGGAGGAGTTGAAGAAGACGATGCTATACAGAGAAGAGGCGATACAGCAGATGAAAGTTGTTGCAGAT